CCTCTGAGGGCTCCGTGCCTGCCTGCAGAGCCCTGCCCAGCTCTTCCCCCATTTGGCTGCTGCTCGTTATCCTCCAGGGAAGGTCTCTGAGGACTTTCCCCTCTCCGGGCAGTGTTTGCCCAGCTCAGGTGGAGAACACCTCGCTCTCCTCTCCACAGGGTCCCCACTGGGCCCTGGAAAAACCTGAGAGCGAACTGACATCAAGTGTCTTACAAATCAGTGTTGACATTTTGTTTTCCTTTTGTTTCCTTGCTAGGACATCCAGTTGGTTCACTTGTTTATTTGGGTATTTTCCTGGAAACTGGAGTTGAGTTCTTGCAGGTTGTGGCTCTTCTGGCGACCTTTTGTGCCTGTGCAAGACTGCTTCACCAGGGAGAGTACTAGAGGGCAATTAAATCTCAGCCTGAGTCAGGGTGTCTTAACACATCACCTTCTGCTCTTTCTCACTGATGGTCAGAGAGAGTAGCAAGAAAAGTTTTCTGTAATTTTCCACTTCCCATCATTCTGAGACATCAAAGCTGATGAGGTCAAATGGCTTCTCTTACTGCACACTGGATTAAGAATTAAGCAAGTCAGATCTGTGGAGATATGAAGGAAATATAAGAATGATCTTGCCAAAGTTTGGCTTGTAAACTGAATCCTGCAGAAACACATCCTGCAAACAGGCAGAAAACTTGAGTTGAAAACTCTACTGCCATGTTGTAGCACAGCACACGCTTGGAGCAGCCTAGGAATCCAGTTCATTTTAATGCAAATCCCAGAAACTCCAGTGTCAAATTCAGGTTGTTTTCTGATTTCCATTTTTTTTTCAGTTTGAATAAACCTAAATAGTAGAATTTCAGGAAGCTTTGCTTGTGCAGGCTCAGTGTCCCAGAGGAGCAGGAGAGCTGTCCGAGGCTTCCCTGGGGATCAGGTCCTGCCCTGTGCCTGCTGTGCCCACCATGCACACAGGGCCAGGCAGCAGCAGAGGTGCTGCACACCACGGGGAGGTGGGAGAGGGCAGGTTTGAGCAGGAGACAGAGATGGTTGGAGTGCTGGATGCCCCGTGTCCCCTGACAGCAGCTCTGGGGCTGCAGGAGAGCCCTGAGGGGAGCCAGAGCAGTCCCTCCCAGAGAGCCTGGCCCCACCAGCCAGCCCCACAGAGCCGGGTGTCACCTGGTGCCACCCCTCCTGCTCTGCTGCCCATGGCCTGTCAAAAGCCACAGCCGTGCCTGCCCCAGCGCTTGGCCCCGTTTTGTCCACGGAGAGCCCTTGGGAGGCAAGCCAGGAGCAGAAGGCAGCTGGTGGCAGGGCTGTGCTGGGGCTCCGTGGGGCACGACGTGGGGCTGAGGGGCACACAGGGGCTGTCTGCCCAGCCCTGGTACTGTAAATGCAGGTGAACCCGGTGGGCAGAAATGCTGAGGTCTGACTCCAGCTCAGAAGGCTGAATGATTTCTTTGTTGTAACTACGCTATAATACATTAATATACTATTTAAAGGAGATACTAAAACTACACACTTACTTGTTCTAACTCCCATATCTAACTCACAACTTGTGACCCTCTCTGAGAGTCCAGCCCCAGGTGGGCTGGATTGGATTGGATTGGATTGGATTGGATTGGATTGGATTGGATTGGATTGGATTGGATTGGCCACCAGGCTCAAACAATCCTCACCAGAATCCAACCAAGCCATCACCCCAGGGAAACAATTCTCCAAACACATTCCACATGAGGAAAACAAGGAGCAGAAATATAAATTGTTTTCTCTCTCTTTCCTCTGTGCTCCTCTATGAAAAATCCTGAAAGAGAGAAGAATGTGCCTGGCACGCCCTGACACCCCCGAAGCAGCACTGGGTGGCCTCGGTGCCCCTGAGCCTGCTGTGGTTCCTCTGTGCCACACCTGGGTGGGGTTTGCTGTCCCGCAGTACCCCTCTCCTCCCTGCTCCCTCCTGCCACTTGCAGAAGCTTCACAAATGGGAGAATGACACAGTCCTGAAAGCATCACACATAGAAAATTCATCTCATTAACCAACCACATAAACACTGCTGTACACACCCCCCGGCTGCAGAGCGCCTTCTGTGCCTTTGCAAGTGCAGAAAAATGTGTAGTAAGCACCAAAATCTGTTTCCAAACAGGCGTAGGGAGAATGGAACTCCAGCCTGCTCTCTCCAGGCATATGGGGAGCATTGGTGTGTGGAGAATGTTAAAGCCACTGCAGCAGGGTGGGCAGGGAAGGGCCAGGACCTCCTTCAGCACCTGCACACAAGGGATGCTCGGTGCCAGGGATGCTCCTCGTGGCTGTGCCTGTCCCTCATCTGTGCTGTGGCTTTTGCTGCTCCCTCCCTCCCTCAGCTGGATGTGTTGGGAGCGAGGTTACCCAGGTGTGTTTGGGGGTCACTGAATCCCAGCGTTTCCTGGAGGTTTTGGAAGTGAGGAAAAATCCACTGTGGAACACATTAGATTACAAGATTTGAGTGTTCTTATCTGTCCTGTAATTCTTTCTCCCTCTGATAATCACAACATATTTAAGAACCCAAAGAGACTTAACTAAAATTGCATCTTTTGTTGATAGGCACTTAAATAGCCTGCTTGCTATTTTTGTTTTTAACAAGAACCTATGTGGATGAATTATATCGAGTTGCAATCAATAGTTCTGGGGAAAACAGATATTGGCTTTTGAAGGCAGAGCTCATTAGCTGGTTTCAAGAAAGAGGTTGTATCCTCGGTGTAAAGAACCTGCACAGAGAAGATGTAGGATCCCATCTCTCTGATTCAGAAATTGCTTCCAAAATTTGGGAATAGGTTTCCCCACACGCACACAGTCCCTGTGCATGTGTGCCAACCTGGACACACTAAAGCTGCAGAAACATTCTTGCACTGTGGGCAGCAAGGGGGCTTGGGATGCTGGGAATGTTAATTCCCAGGATACTTCTAGTGCACAAGTCTCCACTTTTTCTGCCCCATACTTCAGCCACAGCTGCAGTGATGATGTTCTGGATATTGTGAGGCATGTGCTGCCAGGAAAATGTAATGGCCTGCCAGTAAACCAAACATCCAGGTGTGGATGAATCATAGAATCACAGAATCCCAGACTGGTTTGAGTTGGAATGGACCTCAGAGCCCACCCAGTGCCACCCCTGCCTTGGCAGGGACACCTCCCCTTTCCCAGGCTGCTCCAGCCTGGCTTTGGGCAGTGCCAGGGATGCCAGGGCCTGCCCACCCTGCCAGGGAACAATTCCTAATTCCCAATATCCCAACTAAATCTACCCTCCTGCAGCTTCAGACTCCTCAGTATTTCTTTGAAGGGTTTGGTTCGTTCCTCAGTGCAGCAGACAGCCTGCTCAGGTTATTTACAGGCTGACCCTCGTGGAAGACCCTTGGCCTGCTGTGCTCACCAGAGCCCCGGGGCTGGGAGTCATTCTGGCACAAACATGTCTGTCTGATCACCCAAACACATCCTCAGTCGCTTCTGCCGCCTGTGACTGGCAAATCTGCTTGCTGTTAATATTTTCACAGCAAGAGTTGACCTGTAGATCCTAAGAAGAAACAAAAGGGATGGAAATATGGCCTCACTTATTTACAAATGTGATTAATTATCTGCAAGCAAATTTTGTTGTCACAGATCTGATTTCTGCTTCTCCTCAGACATGCTGAGCCTTTTTGTGTTCACACTGGAAACACATAAACCCTCCAGTCAGATGACATGTGTCACTTAAACCTACCCCGGATCAGGATTTGATGTGTGTCAACACATTTAGAGTTGTTAAAT